TCTGTGCCACTCTAACAGAAAATACTACAAATGAGATGGCTTGAACAAACAGGAGTTTACTCTCTCACAGTTTGGAGGCTTTAAGTCTGAGTTCAGAGTGCCAGGCTCTAGGGGCTGGGTGAAAGCCCCCCAACCTTGGGTTCAGTTCTGCCTCCTGATCCCAGCCCACTGAAGCTGGAGGCTTTTCTTCACTCAGACGGCTGCTGGGTGCTGAGACTGACAAGCCCAAGTTTGACAAGTAAAAAAGCACAGTCCCGATGTTACCAAGCCACATGGCAGGCCGTTAATTCAAGTCCATTGAAAGTCCAAGGTCTGCAGAGCACGGCAGGCTGCTGAACAGTGACACGGTAACATGCAGGGTTCAAGTGTGCCATAAGCTAGAGACCATTCCCCAAGCCTTCTCCTTATATACAGGAAGCAGACCACATCCCTAAGGCAACTATTCACCTACTCACAGTAGATTCCACCATGGAGTTGATCACCAGTCTCATCATGGGGAATACTACATCCAGCTGCCCAGCCACTCAACCAGGCCCAGCCAAGTTGACACACAAACTTAACTACCACAAGTATATTGACGGGGAACTTCCAAAAATGCAAGCTGGATTCAAGAGGATGAAGAATGAGGGATATTGCTGATGTTAGATGGATCTTGGCTGAAAGCAAAGAATACCAGAAAGATGTTTACTTGTGTTTTATTGACTATGCTAAAGCATTCAACTGTGGATCAGAACAAATTATGGATAACATTGAGAAGAATGGGAATTCCAGAACAGTTCATTGTGCTCATGAGGAACTTGTACGTAGACCAAGAGGCTGTCATTCAAACAGAACAAGGGGATACTGCATGGCTTAGAATCAGGAAGGGTGTGTGTCAAGGTTATATCCTCTCACCATACTTATTCAATCTGTACACTGAGCAAATAATCCAAGAAGCTGAACTATATGAAGACAAACACAGCATCAGGATTGGAGGAAGACTCATTAACATGTGATATGCAGACAACACAACTTTGCTTGCTCAAAGTGAAGATGACTTGCAGCATTTACTGATGAAGACTAAAGACTACAGTCTGCAGTATGAATTACACTTCACCATAAAGAAAACAAAAATCCTCACAACTGGACTAATAACATCACAATAAATAGAGAAAAGATTGAAATTGTCAAAGATTTCACATTACTTGGATCCACAATCAACACCCATGGAAGCAGCAGTCACGAAATCAGACAATGTATTATACTGGGTAAATCTGCTGCTAAAGAATTCTTTAAAGTGCTGAAGAGAAAGAAGTCTCTTTGAAGACTAAGGTGCGCCTGACACAGGCCATGATATTTCCAATCACCTCGTATGCATGTGAGAGCTGGACAATGAATAAGGAAGACCGAAGAAGAGTTGATGCTTTTGAG